ACCCCCCCCCCCCCCGCGTGCACCAGATCTCCAGAAACGGCAGTTCCCTGCACTTAAAGGAGCCGGCGTTTCCCTTTTAAATGCAGGAGCCGACGTTTCCCATTTAAGAGCAGCCGTGTTTCCCTTTTAAGAGCACGAAGCTGGAATTTCCTTGCAAGCTTGCGGAAAACAGGCTTGGGAGGAAACACGGGTTCCACACACTTAAAGGGAGAGAGATGGGTGGCTGTGGGTGTTGGGGGTGGGGCTTCCCATGCCAGCCCTCTGGCCGGTGGCGGATAGAACCTCCCCCCCAAAACAGGGGACCCCTGGCAAACCGGGTTTTTTGGCAACCCTATCATCCTTCCCTTCCATTAACAAATTCCCATAATTTCTTCCCTCACCTGGGGTGGGTGGGAGCAACCAGGGTTACATACAAAATTAGAATAACGTCTATCGTTTGATGAAACCGTAAAGTGGTGTATCATCTACAGGATGCACATTCATTTCAATTTTTTTTGGATAATAAAAATGACTAGGATAAACAATGAATGTCCTAATTTAATTTATTCTCTGGCAATGAGTTCAAGAAGGCTGGGGGAAGTAGAGAGAGAATCTCTTTCATCCTTTCTTTCTCTCATCCCTGTCATTTCTGGGGGCAAGCTGGACTGAAAATGCCTCACTTTGTTAATTTCATTAAGGTAGGAGTCTCCAACCGTTTTGAGCCCTTGGTCACCTTTGGAATTCTGACACCGAGTGGTGGGTGCAGCCAAAAAAATGGCTGCCACAACCATTTTTGCCTTGGGAGGCAAAGCTAGCCACAAAATGGCTGCCACGGCTTACCTTCAGTCACACAGTGAAGATCCCTATGCTGTGGTGGTAATTGCTGCAAAAGCCATATTTGCCAAAGCAATCTAACCCCACCCACTTTCTAAAAACACTTGGGCACCGGTAGAAAAGAGCAGGAGTCCAGTAGCATCTTAAAGACTAACAAAATATGTGGCAGGGTATGAGCATTCGTGAGTCACTGCTCACTTTTCCGTGAGCAGTGACTCACGAAAGCTCATCCCCTGCCACATATTTTGTTAGTCTTTAAGGTGCTTCTGAACTCTTGCTCTTTTCTACTGCTACAGATAGACTAACAGGTTACCCATCTTGGGCACCAGAAAAGGAGTCAGCAGGCACTATGGTACCTATCAGCAACACGTTGGGGATGCCCGCGTTAAAGTAATAACAGCAAATGGGAATGGGAATGAACAAAAGAATATGAGAATGTCTTTCATTTAACTTTGTTCCCTAGCACCTAGCAGCCTGATTTAGGGAGTTCAAAGGGACCACAGGATGGGGAGACAGGCGAGAGGGATGATCCTAACAGTAAGGTTTCCAATAATCTAAGGCAAAAACAGATCTTGCAACAGAAGAGAATACAGATGGGTTTCTGTTTTCGTATGTTATGTTCTAGATGTCACAGAGAAGCTGAAAACAACAACTCTTCTGGAAAGTGTGAAGGATGCCAAGCGGCTGGTTGATGCATCCTACAACCAGACTCAAGAGAGGTGAGCAATGGTCTTTCTCCTTTGCAGAAACGGATGCTCATCCATCTGAGGAGCAGGTTCTAAGTACGGCAAGGAGTGTTCGGGTGTGAGAAATGTAAGGGGCCATCATGGGCCAGCTGGTAGCTAGGATTACCAACTTTCTTACTAGGTGCTGCTGATCCTGCACCTTAAAAAGCAGCTTGATGTAGATTCATTGGTAAGAGGAAATGGTTATCTCCATGCCCTGAAAAACATCATCTGCTGATATTTAGAGGTTAAGCTTCTGTTAGGCAGAATAGCTGTTTTTCTCTGGTTAGCTGGGAACTCTATTGGGTCTTGTCCTGCCAATCATCCACCTCACCCCTCCCATCCAGCACAATTTGATAAAGACTTGCTTCATGATTTTCTGACTGAGCTGTTGACAAATCAGCAGTTGCATATGAGGATGAAATGCAAGACCTATATGGAGTCTGAATCTCTGTATAGTGAGAATTTCTTGAATTTTGAATTTCTCTTGAATTTCTGCCTGATTCACCACTCCTGAGTTTCTGCGTGACACACCACTTTTATTCAAATGTTCAAAACTGGATTTCTAACTTTCTAATTTGTAACTTTTTACTTCTCTAACTATGAAGACGGCCAACTTTGTGTATTCAGGTTCTCAGGGCTTTTTTTGTAGAAAAAGCCCAGCAGGAACTCATTAGCACAATAGGCCACACCCAACAGCAGAAACTTATTAGCATATCAGGCCACACCCCTGACATCATAGCTCATTGGTATATTAGGCCACACCCCCATGTTACCAGAAGTGTGCTCATCCAGACACACCCACCTTTTGCTTCTTATTCTGTTTATCTTGTTTGTTGTCAAAACCCAGGGCTTTTTTGTAGCAGGAACTCCTTTGCATGTTAGGCCACACACCCCTAATGTAGCCAATCCTAATGAGTTTCTGATGTTGGGTGTGGCCTATTATGCTAATGAGTTCCTGCTGGGTGTGGCCAACTTGGAAACCAGCCGGAACTCCGTTCCTGTGTGTTCCTGCCCAAAAATAGCTCTGCAGGTTCTACATTTTGGACTCTTTGGCAAGCAAAGGGGGGTTAGCCTATGGGAGGAAGGCAAGACAGCAAATGTCCGGGAATAAGGAACAGGAAGGTAATTCAAAGCATGCATCTGTTAATGTCTGAAACATCCACACTGACTTGTCTGGGAACATCTTTCAAGCTGCTGGAGCAACTGCTGAGAAAGTCAGACAGGGGGATAGCCTATGTCACATATCAATAAACAGGTCTCCAACAAAGAAAGATGAGAGGCCAGGGGTCATTTCTTGCAGAAGCGCACAGGAGTGGAGCTCTGGCAGTAAAGAGCCCAGGGGGCGGGCACAAGCAACAAGCCCCACCCCCTGCTCCCAGCAGCCCTCAGTCAGAGCAAGAAGCAGCCAGGTAAGCTGCAGAGCCCCCCCCCCCCCCCCCGCCCCCTGGTCCAAAACAGTCCAGTGGCACCTTTAAGACCAAGTTTTATTCAGGTACAAGCTCTCCCTCCTCTGCGAGGACAGATTTGCATGTTCCCCCCACCCCCAAATAGCTAGCAATCCAAAACAGTCCAGTGGAGCCTGAGCTGAGGGTGTTGCCTTCTGACACACTTCCGGCGATGTCAGGGGGTGTGGCATATGCAAATAAGTTATGCTAATGAGCTCCTGCATCTCTTTCTCTGCGAAATGACCCCTGCGAGAGGCTAATGGATGCTAATATCACTGGCTACAACTTTTGTTTCCTTGTTCTCTTGCTCTCCAGTTTGAAGGAAAGACTGAAGAGAGAAACCCTCAGCCCCGCAGACCTCTTTGCATTGTCTAGGCAGCCCAGTGAAAAATCCAGAGAGGCAATCAGAGCTGCTGATTACCTGCACGTCACCCTTGAGCTCCTGAAAGAGAAGCTGAAGGAGGAGATCCTAGAGGATTTTAAACTCCACGGTAAATGGGCAGGGCTGTGGCCATAGGGGGGGATTGTGGGGGGAACGGGTCACCTTGGAGACGCTTCAGGCTGTCGAACAGAACGTTCACCCTTTTAAAAACAACACGTCTTGGGATTTTCTCTGCAGGGAGCTATAAGGGAAAGCGTCTCATCTGCATTCAAGCTAGTTGTTCACTAAGTAGTTTATCTCCTTTGACTCTGCAGTGCAGAGCTGGAAAGACTCCATTCCCTCTGTGCAAATTATATTTAGCGCAGAATTGATCTCCAGCAGCAGCGCTCGTTATCCAAATATTATGCAGTGCCAGTTAATATTTGACAATTTCTGAATTCTCAGTATTCAAAAGCTCTGAGGCTGCAATCAGACGCGCCTTTAGCTCTGACATAGCTGTGAATGCCTGACGGAGCCAAAGGGCACAGTCAGACAGCAACATCTAGGAAACATCCTGCATTCGTCAGCAACCCATGCTGCTCTGCCACAGAAGCAGAATTAAAAGACATCTGGGAAAGTCCAGTCCTAACACTCGCCGATGGGCCACGGATGGATTTTCCCCTGTTTGATTGCTCAAGTACGCTCTCAAGGCATTGGGATAGTCTGATAATTCCGTTCTGACTCGGTGCCGTTTTTCCCCCACCTTCGCAGTATGCGCATAACTGCATACTCCATGGGGAACCCTCAGTGTGGATGTGCAATTCCTTGTTTATGCACATGGGAAACAAAGGCAAAAAAAAAAAGACTCACCCACGATGGTGTCTGATCACACAGTGACGGGCTGAGCCCACAGCACAAAGGGATGTGTCATCTTGCAACTGTGAGTCAAATTCCTCCAGAGGAAACAGGGGTGCTTCCCCTGCCCACCAAATGGCACATATGACCACAACCTGACAGTATTTGGTAGATGCCTCACAATCATATTTAGTGTTCCCCCCCCCCATTAACTCCATTAATTGGTTAACTGAAATTTTCAATTCCTGATGATCTATTAAGGAATAAAACCCAAGCACGGGAACTGAAGGAATGGGTGTTCAAAAAGGATGGGCTTATGGATCAGGATGTGATGGCACGTTGTCTTATGGCACCATTATTCAAGTTTTTTAAAAGGGATCACTGTAGGTCCCTGTATTTAGAGAAGTTAACCAGCCTGGAATTAAGATTGGCTTTTACAGCTTTAGGATTTCAATCCATGCCCTCAATGATCAGGACTGGTCGTTTCTTTGGTATTCCTGCCCCCCTTAGACTTTGTCTTTGTGATATGGGGGAAGTTGATGATATTGTACATTATATTCTGAGATGCTCATGGCATGAAGCCCTTAGGCTAAAGTTCATCATCCCTATTATTCCGCAGCATAATGGACTCTCTGATCTGGATCTGATCAAATTTTCCATTTTGATTTGCTTACTCTGGTAAAGAGAATTCATACAAAATTTTGCATTTTTGGTTTCACTGTGGATGCAGTGACAGTGTAAGTGGTTGGACTTGCTGTGGAAAAGTAGTTTAGTACATTACTACAAGTTATCTACTTACAAATGGCAAGTAGATAAATAGGTACCACTTCGGTGGGAAGGTAACAGCGTTCCATGCACCTTGGTGTTTAGTCATGCCGGCCACATGACCACGGAAATGTCTTTGGACAGCGCTGGCTCTTCGGCTTTGAAACGGAGATGAGACCGCAACCCTAGAGTCGGACTCGACTGGCTTTCGAGCAAGGGAACCTTTACCTTTACTTACCCCTAATGGGAGAGCTGGTATGTTAAGCCAGATCCCTTGCTAAGTTGCAGAGTGCACTAAAGGCTCAGGACGCAGCAGAGCTCCTTTGAACAGCATATGCTTGTAAGACTACAAAGTTACACAGAGCCACTTATCAGTTTAAAAGAAAATACTAAGTGGCTTACTTAGGAAACACATACTGGATAGTGCAACACAGAGATGGGGACAGGTTCTACTCTACCTAGGTAGTGATAGATGTGGATGCAGGGAGGACTCTGGCATCCATGGTGCCAAAGAAGAAGAAACGTGTCCTCCCTTCTTTGTGTGCCTGCGGGAAGAGAGCCAGGAGACAGAAGGAAGCTGTTTTCTACACATCAAAGGGTTTAGGGACAGAAGAGTAAACAGGACGATGCTTTGTGTCTGCCTATCTAGCTGTAGCTCTCTAGTCACTTGCTTCTCGGAGGCTGAGGCACAGGGACGTCACATCTGGTTCTTCCAACAACCCCGACATCAGGGAGTTCCCTTCTCAAGCGTTTGGTCATGCCTCCTCAACTACACTCAAGTTTACAAATCTCTCTTCCCCCCCTAGTTTCTGTGCCTTGAACATTGAGCAGAGCATATCCCAGCAGGGAAACGCAGTCAAGGGGGCAAACATTGCCTGGAGAATTTTTGCACCTTGAAAATGCATTGAACCCTAGATTACTTTAAAAGCAAATAACCACAAAACAGTGACTACTTTCTCCTCTCAGACTGTCCCATATCGACAGTCCTGACCTCCATAGACCACTAACGTCACCTCTGCCTTTACTCCTCCAGATGTTCTCACATCAGACCACATGCAAACCATCTGCAAGGCATCTGGATGTACCCAGCAAGAGAAGCCTTCATGCGACTGCGATGAGAAGAGTCCCTACCGGACAATTACAGGCGAATGCAATAACCTGTGAGGTTCTAGCAGACAGGAGGGTGCCAGAGATGGTGTAGCACAGAGCCAGTTCCTCCTTTCCCTCTCGTTGCTGTATTGTGGCCACAGAACCCCTGCACAAAGATTTTTCTCTGTGCTTTTCTGTTCCACCAATTTTGTTTCCCCTCACTTACTAGGTTTACTCCATGTGGGGCCTGGACTACTTCTGGAACCACAGCTGGTCTCCAGACTGCAGACATAAATTCCCTTGGGGGAAATGTCAGCTTTGGAGGGTGAATTCTGTGAGGTACCATAGAATCTAGGAGAAACAGAAGTCCTAGAATGCCTATACCAGATGGATGCTCTAACTTCTGCCTCTCCTGTGATATACCATAAAGACTCTGTGGTACATGATTGATTGTCACCTGTAAAAACACAAATGCCAGAGACCATTTGAGAATTGAGAGAGGAATGGGACTGCTGTTGGCTGGAATTTTGGGAGGGTATGGGCATTTCCTCCCCATCTTTCTCTGCAGAGTTGCCTTTAATGTAATGTTTTGTGGAGCAACTACTGGAATATGAGCTATAGGCACTTTGTGGGAACTTTAATTTAAAAAAAAAATACTTACGGGTTTTCAACTATCTTCTGCCACAAAGTGAAAGGCAGGATATAAAATGCCCTAATAAACAAATAAATGCGTAGATCTTTTATGCATAGAGTGCTTCACATCCGTTATGTGTCCGCAATCCTGCCATCATTGCTGTAAGGGCGACTAGTGCCGTTATCCCTGAGGCTTCTGTATGCACCAGCCTTCCTTGTGTTGAGTGCACCCATGGTACTGTCTACTTGGGCAGTTCTTTAATTGGAGATGCCGCCAGGCATTGGACCAGGGACCCCTCTGCATGCAGAGTGTGCCCCTTGCCACCAAGATTTGGACCCTCCCCTGTAGTAAGAACCTTCTTCTTCTTTTTGTACCCCTTCAAATGAATGTTTGGTTTTCTTGAAATATTGCAGAAGAAGCCCTGTTTTGGGAGCCTCGAACCGGCCTTATGTCAGGTGGCTTCCCCAGGAGTATGAAGATGGCGTCTCTGTCCCACGCGGCTGGACGGAAACAAAGCAGTATTCTGGATTTCCTTTGCCCTCGGTAAGGAGTTCATGCCTGCTTATTTCCCCTTGTAGTTTTAAGATCTGCTTTTTATTCTTGACATGATAAAGATTTGGGATTGAAGAAAAGGAGCACAAAGCTATGGAAAGGAGAGATGGAGGAGAGGGGGCTTTGCAAACAAGAGGTCTTTGGAAGCCAGGAAGCCAGACCCCACGGAAGCGGTCAGCGGGGAGCCAAATTTGCCATATTGATTTGAAAAACTGTAGTATTCCCTATCAAGTTACTCACACAAAGAAGTTTCACTTGATAGCCATTTTTGGTTGACTGTAACCACCTGCACAAGGGAAATATCTCGGTGACCAGGTGACCGGGTGAGTGACTGTTGACAAGCGCATCTTACTTTCTACAGGTCCGGGCCGTGTCCAATGAGATTGTCAGCTCGCCCAGTGACAAATTCACCGAGGATCAGCAGCGATCCGTCATGTTCATGCAGTGGGGCCAGTTTACCGACCACGATTTAGATCTGGGCCTTGCGCAGAATACGGGGGATTGCAGCAGGACATGTGACAAAGTGCCTCCTTGCTTCCCCATCAAGGTTTGTGGGTCTCCTTGGCTCCTTCTAGCCCTCTCCGCAGCCATTGCTCGTCAGTGACCAGCTGTATGTTAAGATATGTCCTTGTGGATGCCCCAGTGATGTTTTGCGAATTCACAGACGATGCTGGAGCACAAAAGGTTATTGTGCTCCAGGATCTGTTGTGGCATCGCCAGAGACCTTTGGGGGAAAGACAGACCTCAGTCTCCCCCTGCAAACTCACAGCAACATAAAGATACACACCAAAAAATGAAAATGGTGACTGGAGACACAGGCAGAAGATTTAAGGTAATGTGTAGGTTGGTTCTCAGATTTTTCTTTGCCTGGAATCAAAAAAATAATAATTCTGATTTTCATAGTGTGGGTGTTTAATCCTATTTTCTTTTTTGCCTCAGGTACCTCTCAGTGACCCCCGGAGTAAGAACATAAGCTGTCTTCCCTTCACCCGGGCTGCCCCAGTATGTGATGGCAAGTTTGCCATTCGAAACCAAATCAATGTGATCACGGCCTTTCTTGATGGCAGCCAGGTGTATGGAAATGAAGTAGGAGTGGCAGAGGCTTTGAGGGGAAATGGCGGTTTGATGGCCGTAAACCAGTTAAAAGATAAAGACTTGGCTTTCCTCCCCTTCCAAACCATTAACCAATCAACTTTCTGCCTTCGAACAGATCCAGAGCACAAAATCCCCTGCTTTTTTGCAGGTAAGTCCAGTTATTTTCAGGACCTAACACACTGTTTGCTTGTTTATTTATTTTACAATGTTTATAGTCTACCTTTCTGAAAAAGACTCAAGGTAGATCACAATTGAATATTTGAAATCAAGAAATAACCAGAAAACATCTATAAACCTATGGATTAGATCCAGACTAAAGTTACTGCAGACGGAAGCCATTTCTATCAGTGAAACAGATTCCTTTCTTCCCTCCCTGCACTGCCTAGCAACCAGCAAGTGGTCTGTGGGTGGGGATATAGGGGGGCTGGATTGTTGGCTATAGCACCACATCACTTCTAGTTAAAAAAAAAACCCTGAAGGGACACAGGTGGCTCTAGGAATGGCTAAAACCATAGAGTTTCATGTGATTCCTAGAGCTACCCTACATTGCTTCTGTTTTTTTTTACTGGAAATGAAAAAATCTGTGGCACCAGATGTGAAGCTTCTTTTCACCCACTACCTCTCAAAGTAGCTGTCGCAACAGGAGTGAGTGCTGGGGGGGACACTGCCCCCTCCGGCGGAATGGGATCCCTACCCCCACATTTCCGAAATGCCACTCTCATGGAACAGGGGACCCTTGGGAATGGAATGAATGACAGATGGGGGGGGCAGCCCTGCAGCAGGCAAGGAGAACTGGCAAAAATTACTCTTCCCCTTCCTTTAACAGAAAATGTAGACTAGTGTCAACCCCGTATGAAAGCCCAGCAACAAAACCCCCTCTCCTATAAAGTTCTGTTTTACATAGGGTTCCCACCCCCCCCCCCGGTTTGCCAGGGGTCCCCCATTTTGGGGGGGTTCTACCCGCCGCCGGCGGGGGAAGCCCCGCCCCCAACACCCACAGCCACCCCTCTCTCTCCCTTTAAGTGCGTGGAACCCGTGTTTCCTCCCAGGCCTGATCTCCACTTGAGATCAGGCTTGCAGGGAAATGCCAGCTTCGTACACTTAAAAGGGAAACGCAGCTCTGTGCTCTTAAAGGGGAAACGCCGGCTCCTGCGCTTAAAAGGGAAACGCCGGCTCCTTTAAGCGCAGGGAACTGCCGTTTCTGGAGATCCAGCGCGAGGGCAGGGGGAGGGGGCGGCGGACGTCCCCAATGTGACGTCATCACGTCGGGGATGCCCGCCCCCTCCAGGAACGCCCCCAAAGTCCCCCGCCGGGGGTGGAAGATGGACTTGGCAACCCTAGTTTTACAGTCTGTGAAAGGACAGAAGCATTGAGGTTTTCCTAAGTTCCTCAGGGAAGCTGTTCCACAAGGTTGCCGCTACAGTTGAAAAGTCCTGAGCAGGAGCTGTGACAGAGGAGGAGCTCTTCAGAAGGACTGACCCAGTAGAACAAAAAAGGAGACGCAGTCCTGTAGCCAGGGCTTTTTCCCTGGGGGAACGTGCCAGAACAGAGTTCCGGAACCTCTTCAACAAAATTATTTTAAAAAATATTTAAAAGCTCATGAGTTTTCAGTATACGGAGTTCCAGCACCTCTTTTTTCCAAAAAGAAAACAAGCCCTGTCTGTAGCTATTTATCCCCGATGGGGACAGAAACAGCTTCTAACATCTTTCTGCCATCCTCCATTTTATCTTCACAACAGCCACTGTGAGAGGTAGGTTAGGCTGAGAGAAAGTGACTGACCCAAAGACACCTAGAAAGCATCCATGGCAGAATGGGGATTTGAACCTGGGTCTGTCTAACCCTTTGACCATTACCCCACATGAAACCTTTATTGTCTCGGGCCATGAAAAGGTTTCTAAGGCCCTGTCCACACGAGGGGTTTTGGGCCGGGAGTGGGCTGGATCGGGGCTGGAGCAAATGGGCACGATCCCACTGCAACATCTGGGCAGCGTTGCGCACCTGTCCCCGATCCGGCCCTTCCCCCAATGAAACGCATCAAAAACGAACCACCTACCGAGGTGGTTCATCCACAACGGCCGCATCAACGCTGGCTGTGGGATCGCCAGCCCGTCTTTCTGCTGGCGCATCCCCGGCTCCTGCCTGAACTGCGCATGCTCAGACATGCGCAGTTCGGCAGTCTCCCATTCCCCTCCGTCGCTTCCCCCAGCATCTGATCGTGCCGGGGAGGGAATGCGCCGCGGCTCAGGGGATCACTGTGATCCCGCCGCGGCGTGGTTTTTTTGGTGCGGCTTTCAGAAGCCGCGCTTCAACCCATCCCTTTCCGCCCCGTGTGGCAGGGGCCTAAGTAATGAGTAGGATTGCCAGCTTAAATTGGGAAATATCTGGATATTTGGGGGGGGGGGTGGAGCCCGAGAAGGATGGGGTTTGGGTGGGGACTTCAACAGGGTAGAATGCCATAGAGTCCATGTTCAAGGTGGCCATTTTCACTGGGTGAACTGCTCTCTGTTGCCTGGAGATAGTTTGTAAACCCAAGAGGTATCCAGGTACTAACTGGAGGTTGGCAAACCTAGTAATGACCACTAGAACCCGGATACTAATCAATGGTATTGTTATAATATGCGTTGCTCCAGATAATCATAGGGTTGCAGCATTTTACACAGGCGCAAGTTTCAAATTGCATTCTAGGTCAGTCTATCTGATTAGAGCTTGTTACAAAACTCAAGTTCTGTGGTTCCTGTGATGTGGGTCCAGGCAGATAGACTGGCTGGTAGGGAGCCTACAGATATGCCAGATGAAAATGGAAGAAGGTGTTTTTTGCAGCTGAACTTAATTGTTTCTCCAGCAATACTGCTGGAGAAGCAAAAAGTAAAAATAAAGCCACGCACCTAACTGAAGCAGGAAAGGTCAGCTGTACCCCATCAAACTAGGATTTCCAGTTCCAGATTGGGAAATTCCTGGCAACTGTATGAACAAACATGGGGAGCAAAATACAGTATTCACTCAAATGCAAAACTAGGTTTTTCCCCCCAGATATGCCATCAAAAGAGTGGATCACCTTAAATTTGTATACAAGTTACAGTAATGGCCAATAATAAAAATCTTTGGAGGTATTACATTTTCAGGGGGTGGACTTGCATTCAGAGTCCTCCTCTTCCTTTCGTGTAAATAAGGTGCTCTCCAAAACCTCAGCCTTACTGTCCAGGATCACTTCTGTCCTTCAGGCTTCAGTTTCTACTTGTTCACCTTTAGCCACTCGTCCACAGCAACCAAACACTGCCTCATGACAGTCACAGCAATCTTGGGTGTCTTCACCGGAGAAATCTCTAGCTGGGTGTCACTGGAATTCTGAGGGCACCCAATACCTGATGAACCCTCACAAGGCCTTCCATACAAATGAGAAAAGCATGGGCAGTAAAATCAAAGAACTCCAAAGGGAATTGTTGCCAGGTGGCCCATGGCCAGCAGCATCTAGAAACCTGATGCTGCTTAGCCTGCCAGAAATTCCACTGAACCCTGGCAGGACGAGATATTCCTAAGATCATAATGCCCCAAGAAATCTCCTTTTTACTCTTTTTTATTTTGTAACATCTGGCTTGAGGAGGAGGTCTGGGGAACTCAAAAACTTGTACACAGGTGGGGGGCATGGATCAGAGGTAAAACATCTGCTTGCCCTACAGAAGGTCTTGGGTTCAGTCCCCAGCATATCCAGCTAAAAGGATCAGATAATAGGTGATGTGAAAGACTTCTGCTGTAGACCCAGGAGAGCCACTGCCAGTCTGAGTAGACAATACTGACCTAGATTTAGGGGTCATTGGGTTGGTCCTAATACAAGGTATTACAGGGGTTTTGTGCTTGGCTTTTTCAACACTGAACCCCATGGGACAAATCCCATTGCTGACATCAGACAAATACTAGGGGAATCCATGATTGGAAAACAACAGCAATCTGTGCATGGTTTGTTATGTGTGGTTTCAACAGGCAGAATGGTGCAGGGGTGGTGGTTAATGGCTTAAACAACTTCTGTCCTCTGTATGTGGTTCTGATGTGGACTGAAGCCAGCCACACATAGCTATAATTTAGATTTTTTGGAAAGGCTCAAAAGATCCAATCATAGATTTTCCAGGGTCTTAAGCTATGAGTGTTCACCATTAGCATGAGTCAGGGCCAATGCCAACTGGGTTGGGAGATTCCAGGAGATTTGAGGGCAGTGCCTGGACAGGGCAGGGTCTGGGGAAGGTAGAAAGCTCAGCATGGATGTGGTTTCACTCTAGGACTTCCATTTCCCCTCAATTCCATGGTATACTGTAGAGTTTGCCCTCCAAAGCTGCCATTTCTCTCCAGGGGAACTCATCTCTGTAGTCCGGAGATCAGCTGGAATTCTGGGACTCCAGGCCTCACCTGGCGGCTGGTGAGCAGAGATGGGGGCAACCTTCACACAGCAATGCCTAGGAAGTCATTCCCTCATCCATTCAGTACAGCCGCAGGGAAAAGGGGGGGGGGAAGCAGTGAGCACCCTGGTTTTATTTATTTCAGTTGTGTTGTACACATTAGATTCCATGTCAAAAATGAAGTCAAATGAGGAGGAAGTTCTATGTTTTATTTCAATTAACAGAAAAACAATTGGACCAAATAGTCCATCCAAAAATGACTACTTTCTTTTCAGCATATTTAGGAAATAGGCTTCAATTAATAGGAAAACAATTAGACCAAATAGCTAAACAAAAATTGACAACTTTCTTCTTCTTCTTGGACATATTCTGAACATATTCAGGAAATACATGATATTTTATACATGGACTGACATAATCAAGAAAACAATATTCAAACAGCATAATTGGTTACAATCTGGAGCTGTGGTGGCTCAAGTGGTTAAGACGCTGAACTGCAGGCTGTGGATGGTCAGTAGTTCAGCAGTTCGAGACCTGGGTGCCGCAAGACGGGGTGAGCTCCTGTCTCTAGTTCCAGCTCCTGCCAACTTAGCAGTTCGAAAGCAAGAAATTGCAAGTAGATAAATAGGTACAACTTCAGTGGGAAGGTAACAGCGTTCTGTGCTCCTTGGTGTTTAGTCATGCCGGCCACATGACCACGGAAACGTCTTCGGACAGCGCTGGCTCTTCGGCTTTGAAACGGAGATGAGCACCGCAACCCTAGAGTCTGATTCGACTGGCTTTCGAGCAAGGGAACCTTTTCCTTTACCTTTAATTGGTTACAAAAGACAGTGGTAATTTGAGTAATAATCCTCTGATTGGCCAGATATAAAGAAACATAGCTACGTCAAACTAAGTGTTTACTTAACCTAACCTAAATGATAATGGGCAAGGATTCTTCAAAAGAGACTAAAATCTTATCTTACCCAGACATTTATGCATGGACTGACATAATCAAGAAAACAGACATTGAAAGGTTTGCCCTAAGAACTACAGAATCATGAACTTTGTACCTATTATGTGGCTAACAATATCAGACCTACAAGAGGAAAGCCTTCTATATAACAGGCCTTTCTAACATCCTAATAAAATATTACTCAAAGAATAAATCTATAAAAACCAGAGAAATATGAATATGAACAATCAAGAAGAAACAACCTATATATAAAAATCTCTATATTCCCATTCATACTACAGTTGGGGTGTAAGCAGAATGCATGCATTTACAGTTCCTTTGTGTTACTTTGTATGGTATCTGTAACCTCATAGAAGCGGCCGCCAGTGTCTTTTATTCGTAGGAAGGTGGCCTATATATGCCCTACAAATAACCAATACAAATTCTGGGTCTTCAAGGGGACATTCGGGTGGACGAAATGCCAGCCTTGACCGTGCTGCACACCCTTTTCCTGCGGGAGCACAATCGCCTGGTCACCGAGCTGAAGAGGCTAAATCCGCTGTGGAATAAAGAGACCCTGTACCAGGAGGCCCGGAAGATCGTAGGGGGTGTCATGCAGGTATGGGGCAAAAGTTTATGTCCGCTGCAGGGGAGACAGATGTCAGCAGGTCTGGGTCAGCATACCCGGGGGGGGGGGCAGCTGGCCCAGGACATCTGGTGGAGTCCACAGCTGCTGTCGCCCACCCACACACCTCCCCTGCCGACTGTTTGTACCTGTGCTCCCTAACTGCCCAGAGTAATTGAGGAAGGGCATGTGGCTGGTGCGCAGCAGTGGCTCTCCTGGTGGTGGTGGCAGGGTGATGCAGGCAGATGGGAGCATGCGGGTGTGGAGGTAGGGTTGCCAGGTCCTTACTGGCTGCCGGTGGGGGGCTCCAGCCTGCTTGTTGGCATCACTGCCCTCAAAACCATAGTTTGCCCAGAAACTAGACCATCAATCCCCTCAACGTCCCTGGTGTGATGATGTCACTTCTGGGTGACGTCGTTGCATTGGGGATGTCGCCGGGTGATGTCCCTGTTTGAGGGTGGGGCTTCCCCCACTGACCAGTTGGCCAGTGGCAGACTGAAGCCTCAAACCCTGCCCATACCAGGGGTTTGGCAACCAGGGGTTTGGGAACCCTATGTGGAGGTGAAAAGGAGAGTATGAGGGGGTTCCTGGGTACTGTCTGCTCAGGGCCCCACAAAACCTGGAACCCATCCTGGAGGTGGGTCACTTTCTCTCTTATCCTCTCTGATGCAGTTGCTATATACGTCAGCTCAACAACATTCTCCAAAATATATTTAATTCTGAACCCTGGGCCTTTTGCAGGTCATTTCAGTTGTTGTTGTTGTTCAGTCGCACAGTCGAGTCCGACTCTTCGCGACCCCATGGACAAGATCTCACCAGGCCCTCCTGTCTTCCGCCGTCCTCTGAAGTTTGCTCAATTTCATGTTCGTTGCATCTGTGACACTGTCTAACCACCTTTGCCGTCCCCGTCTTCTTTGACCTTCAATCTTTCCCAGCATCAGGGTCTTCTCCAGTGAGTGCTCCCTTCTCCTTTGGTGGCCAAAGTATTTGAGCTTCAGTTTCATTATCTGGCCTTCCAGGGAACAGTCAGGGTTGATTTCTTTTAGGATTGACTGATTTGATCTTCTTGCAGTCCAAGGGACTCTCAAGAGTCTTCTCCAGTGACACTGTCTAACCATCTCATCCTTTGCCGTCCCCGTCTTCTTTGACCTTCAATCTTTCCCAGCATCAGGGTCTTCTCCAGTGAGTGCTCCCTTCTCATTTGGTGGCCAAAGTATTTGAGCTTCAGTTTCATTATCTGGCCTTCCAGGGAACAGTCAGGGTTGATTTCTTTGAGGATTGACTGATTTGTTCTTCTTGCAGTCCAAGGGACTCTCAAGAGTCTTCTCCAGCACCATAGTTCAAAAGAATCTATTCTTCGGCGCTCGGCCTTCCTTATAGTCCAGCTCTCGCAGCCATACATGACTACTGGGAATACCATTGCTTTGACCATGCGGACTTTTGTTGGCAGGGTGATGTCTCTACTTTTTATCATGCTGTTTAGGTTCGCCATCGCTTTCCTCCCAAGGAGCAGGCGTCTTTTAATTTCATGGCTGCAGTCACAGTCTGCGGTGATCTGGGATCCCAGGAACGTGAAGTCTGTCACTACTTCCACGACTTCCCCTTCTATTTGCCAAGGAGTGATGGGGCCGGATGCCATGATCTTAGTTTTTTTGATGTTGAGCTTCAAGCCCACTTTTGCGCTCTCCTCTTTTACTCTGAGCAAGAGGCTCTTTAGATCCTTTTCACTTTCAGCCATTAGAGTGGTATCATCTGCATATCTGAGGTTGTTGATCTTTTCCCCAGCAATCTTAATTCCCGCTTGTGATTCATCCAGGCCAGCATTTCGCATGATGTACTCTGCATATATATTAAATAAGCAAGGTGACAGTATACATCCTTGTCGTACTCCTTTTCCTATGCTGAACCAATCAGTTGTTCCGTATCCGGTTCTAACTGTCGCTTCTTGGCCCTTATACAGGTTTCTCAAGAGACATGTGAGGTGGTCTGGTACTCCCATCTCTTTAAGGACCTGCCATAGTTTGTTGTGATCCACACAGTCAAAGGCTTTAGCATAGTCAATGAAGCAGAAGTAGATATTTTTCTGGTACTCTCTTGCTTTCTCCATAATCCAGCGAATGTTGGCAATATGATCTCTCGTTCCTCTACCTCTTCGAAACCCAGCTTGTACTTCTGGTAGTTCTCTATCCACGTACTGTTGAAGCCTAGCTTGTAGGATCTTGAGCATGACCTTGCTAGCGTGTGATATGAGTGCAATTGTGCGATAGTTTGAACATTCCTTGGCATTGCCCTTCTTTGGGATTGGAATGTATACTGATCTTTTCCAATCCTGTGGCCACTGTTGCGTTTTCCAAATTTGCTGGCAAATGGAGTGCAGAACTTTAACAGCATCATCTTCTAAGACTTTGAATAGCTCAGCTGGAATACCATCACCTCCACTAGCTTTGTTGTTAGTAATGCTTTCTAAGGCCCATTTAACTTCACATTCCAGGATGTCTGGCTCAAGGTCAGTGATTATACCGTCGTGTTTGTCAAGGACATTGAGGTCTTTCTTGTATAGTTCTTCTGTGTATTCTTGCCATCTTTTCCTAATCTCTTCTGCTTCTGTTAGGTCCCTACCGTTTTTGTCCTTTATCATGGCCAGCTTTGCATGGAACGCTCCCTTGATTTCTCCAATTTTCTTGAAGAGATCTCTAGTCCTTCCCATTCTATTGTTTTCTTCTATTACTTTGCACTGTTCATTCAGGAAGGCCTCCTTATCTCTCCTTGCTGTTCTCTGGAAATCTGCGTTCAGTTGGGTAAATCTTTCCTTTTCGCCTTTGCCTTTCGCTTTCCTTCTTTCCTCTGCTATTTGTAAAGCCTCATCAGAAAGCCATTTTGCTTTCTTGCATTTCTTTTTCTTTGGGATGGTGGTGATTGCTGCCTCCTGTACGATGTCACGAACCTCTGTCCATAGTTCTTCAGGCACTCTATCTATCAAATCCAGACCCTTGAATCTATTCTTCACCTCTACTGTATATTCATCAGGGATGCGATCTAGGTCAAACCTGAATGGCCTCGTGGTTTTCCCAATTTTCTTCAGTTTAAGTCTGAATTTTGCAATGAGTAGCTCATGATCTGAACCACAGTCAGCTCCAGGTCTTGTTTTTACTGACTGGATAGAGCTTCTCCATCTTTGACTGCAAATTATATAGTCAATCTGATTTCGGTGTTGCCCATCTGGTGATGTCCATGTGTAGAGTCGCCTCTTAGGTTGTTGGAAAAGGGTGTTCGCTATGACCAGTGTGTTCTCTTGACAAAACTCTGTTAACCTTTGCCCTGCTTCATTTTGCTTTCCAAGGCCAAACTTGTCTGTTATTCCGGTTACCTTTTGACTTCCTACTTTAGCATTCCAGTCCCCTATGATGATGAGGACATCATTTTTTGGTGTTAGTTCTAGGAGGTGTTGTAGGTCTTCATAGAACCGGTCCACTTCAGCCTCTTCTGCATCAGTGGTTGGGGCATAGATTTGGATTACTGTGATGTTGAATGGTTTGCCTTGGAATCGGACCAAAATCATTCTGTCATTTTTGAGACTGTATCCCAGTACTGACTTTTGCACTCTCTTGTTGACTATAAAGGCCACACCATTTTTTCTACGAGATTCCTGGCCACAGTAGTAGATATAATGGTCTTCTGAGTTAAATTCGCCCATTCCTGTCCACTTTAGTTCACTGGTTCCTAAGATATCGATGTTCAGTCTTGCCATCTCATTTTTGACCACGTCAAGCTTACCTTGATTCATAGATCTTACATTCCAGGTTCCTATGCAGTATTGTTCTTTGCAGCATCGGACTTTCCTTTCACCATCAGACACATCCACAACTGAGCGTCCTTTCGGCTTTGGCCCAGCCGCTTCACTCTTACTGGGGTTACTTGTACTTGCCCTTCGCTCTTCCCCAGTAGCATATTGGACACCTTCCGACCTGAGGGGCTCATCTTCCGGCGTCATATCTTTTAGCCTTTTGATACTGTCCATGGGGTTTTCTTGGCAAAAATACTGGAGTGGGTTGCCATTTCCTTCTCCAGGGGATCACGCTTGGTCTGAGTTCTCTGCTGTCATTTCAATATTGCGTCACTTTTTTCGGCTTCCCCTCTCCCATTGATTTTGTCTCTTTTGGTTAGCTGTTGCTGCTCTTGGCTTCGTAAATTCATCCTGCATTGGGCATGCATGTGTTAACTCATTTATTAATATTTACAAAAATTGTATGCAGACCTTCTACCCAGCGTAGGCCTCCAAGACAGCCAACAGTCTTTTAAAAAATGTATAAAATCATCTGAGAACAATTCATAAAAACAATTAAAACTAGTCTAGAGATGAGCTGTAATTCCAGGGTATCCCCAGGTCTTACCTGGAGGCTGGCATCCCTACAAGAGCCACAAGGCAGCTTTATGTACAACGTATGTAATTAAAACACACACACACACAATGTACGATGCTGATTTATTGAAATATTATTTTTGAAAGAGGGTTCATTTTTACATTTTGCAGGGAAAATTCTGCCAAGCTGACTATAAATAAACATTTTTTTAAAAAAAATGGATTTGATTACTAGCAAAATCAAACCCTGAATTTCTGTGGTAAAAATAGCAGAGATGACAAGTTTGAAGTCACCCCTCTTTTCTTGTGTTTAACCCCATGCCTCTTTCCAGAAAATTACATACAACGATTACCTTCCTGAACTTTTGGGAGCCCCTACTGCGTCAACCCTGAAACGCTATCAGGGCTACAACTCCACAGTGGACCCTCGAATCTCCAGCGTCTTCACTAACGCCTTCCGTTTTGGACACGCTTCAGTTCGACCTGCGGTGAACCGCCTGGATGCCAGTTATCGGCTTGTAAGCCGAATCCCTCTCCAGCGGCAGTTCTCGGCTCCGTGGAGTATCGTGAGATTAGGTAAATTGTGATTGGCTCTCTGCATTTTTATTCGCCAGAAAGATGGCTGGCATCTTTTCATCAGAGGTGTAGCTGTGCTTGACTCTGCTGAAATTAACACACCACCACCACCATATGTTGAGGAAAAGCTAAAGCACTTGGGTAGGGGTGGCCAAACTTGCTTAACGTAAGAGCCACATAGAATAAACGTCAGATGCTTGAGAGATGCAAGACATGAACAAATATTACAAACACATTTTTATTGAAAATAGGGCTGCCAAGTGTGGGCGGGGGGCAGGGAATCCCCCGCTTTGAAGCCCCGATTTCCGACGCGGCGGAATCGGGGCTCGGGGGAACCCCGCCCCCGGCGTGCGCATCACTAGCAAGTGATGTAGGCACGCTGGGCACGCTGGGGGCGGGGCCACGGCCATACAAGGGAAAACTCTATGGTTTTCCCTTGTATGGCCGTGGCCCCGCCCCCAGCGTGCCCAGTGTGCCTATGTCACTTCTGGGTGACGCGCACACCCCCGACGCCAGCTGGGAGCCCCCCGCTCCCGGTGAAGACAGAGTTGGCAACCCTAATTGAAAAATATGTAAAATTGCTTTTTATTAATATTAAATGAGACTGCCAAAAATAAAAACAAAAGGGGTAGAACCAGACATTGATCATGATATTTATTTGTCCAATTGTATTTGTTTGCTAGTTATATTTATTTGTCTAAGAGAGAAAGAAAGAGAAGGGTGGAAAGAAAGAATAAAATAGGTGGAAAGAGAGAAAAACAAAGAAAACAAATAGATGGGGGAAGGGAGAGAGGGAGGGAGGGAGGGAGGGAGGGAGGGAGAAAAATAGAAAAAAGGAGAAAAGAAAGTAAATAGATGGGGGAGGGGAAAATAAACCAACTTTATCTTTAAATGTGTCCTCCAAGCTCCCCAAGCCCCTACACCGGTTGGCTTGGCTTGGAGAAGCAGGGATTTAAAGAGACAAATGCCTTCTCCAGGCCGGCAGGGGGCGAAGGGGCTTTGAGCATGCATTTAAACCTGGAACTGGCCACACTCATCGCATACCTGGAATTGATTCTGGGATCCACTGGGGAGGCTGCAATCCATGGCAGAGTTTGGGTAGGACTGGATGGAGCCATTCTGCTTTCCAGTCTATCTTTTCATAGAGGATCCTCATTTGGAAAACTGTGCAGAAGCAATGCAATCCATGGTGAGAGGGTAAATGGTTGTACTGGGGTTGATCCAGTGATGGTCCTCAGAGAAGGGAAGCGAGGAGGGCCTGACTTAACCGTGACCCGACTTTTGCAGCACCAGCAGGGGAGGGGAGACAGCCGGATGCTGGGGGGGGGCAGGAGTAAACAGTGGGGAAATTGGGCTTTCTCCTTCCCCCAAGAGACCAATCACAGGGATCTAATGTGGCTGGGGGTGGGCTGTCACAGAGGAAAAGAGGCTGGCCACTTGCCTCCTGCCCCATCCTTTGTCTGGCCGTGGAGCTGTTGGCCACCCAACCCGCCCTAGAGAGTGAGCCTTCAGATGGTAGCAGTCTGATGAGTGTATAGCAGTTTGGGGGACAATGCAGTTTGAATGGTGTTCTTAGTTTGGAGCTGTTAGCCACATGATGTTGTCTGTTGTTTTATAGTCACAACTTTTTGGTGGTAACAGAATGGGGCTGGATCCGTTTACAGAAACTGGCCTGTGTGCTGTTTTCTGGATACGGGGACCCCCATAAGGGGTCTTGGCGTGAGGGCTTAAGGGAGCAAGCCTGCTCCCTCACAAGCAGATGGCAGGGGAGACCAGTGAGGGCAGTCGTCCGTGTGGGCTACTGCAACCTGCCATCCCGCAGTTCTCCACCCAAGCCAGCGGGCTGGGTGTGATGGGGTACATCGACTGTCGTGGGCCAGCCGATGCTTTGGATCTAGTGGACCCATGCTGTGCCAAGGATTCTTACAGCAGTAACCAATAAAGTTGTGGACATTTTATTCCACAAATTATCCAATATTTGGCATGTGTCTGGTTCTGTTATACTGGGGTATGGATACATAACAGCAGGACATCTCCCTCCCCACCTAAAAGCTTGAGCCGCAAAATGCAAACGGAAACTGCTAGTTTCAAGTCACGTGCATCGTAAACAAATCATCACATCACATTTCTGGAGAGGTGTGGTATGAGACCACTTGTACCCCACGTTTTCAGGCTTATGTATGTAGTCATGAGTGTTCGAAAGTTTTATTTTTTTAAGTTCTGAGATTTCCAGACTGGAGGCAAGAATGCATTTTGTTCTGTCTCTGCCTTCTGGCCTAATGGAACTTAGGCACTTTCAGAAACAATTAGGACAGGTATTGGTTTTAAGCAGCTGTTTCATTCTTGCAGGAGGCATTGACCCCGTTCTGCGAGGCATGTTGGCTAAGCCCGCCAAATTGTTCAAACAAGACCAGTTCGTAGTGGACGCACTCAGGAACCACCTGTTTGAGCAGACTGGTGGTATTGGAATGGATTTACCCTCTCTGAACATGCAGCGTGGCCGAGACCATGGCCTGCCTGGTAAAGTATACAGGTGGCACCTGCCTATCAACAGGTGGCTAACTGTGAGGATGGTTAGCGCTGTGCCAAATGTTTGTGACTTGTCTTAGATGCAAAAAAAGGAAGAAGATGTTTGGGAGTTATCCAATCCAAAATATTCTCCAAAAGACCCTGAACTGTTCTTTAAAAATAAATAAATCAAAACATGATTTCTTGCCCTGACCTGGATAACCCGGGCAAGGCTGATCTCGTCAGATCTCGGAAGCTAAGCAGGGCCGACTCTGACAAGTACTTGGATGAGAGACCTCCTTGGAATACCAGCAGTTGGGAGGTGGGGGCAGGCTTTATTCAGCCAATTCTCTGAATATCCTCCAGGCACCCAGGAGGGGTCAGTCACCAGAGGTTGCCATGACTTCCAGGCGCGCACACACTCACACATAAACAAATACAAAAAAACCCCACATGATTTCCTTTCTATTTGTGGTCCCGCTAGGCTGTTGGAATATTTGGTAAATTAGCAGAGTGCTCAAGGCTCACAACAGCAATGCCCATCCGGTTAGCATGAGTGATAACAAAAAACAAAGTTACAGATGGAGCCTCTTGATCTTTGCAAAGCTAATATGACTCCTTTATTGTTAAGAACTCAATTTTAGATAGGATAGCGATAGATTCCTAATCTATCTAACTGGCTAAGATGGTTAGAGATGCAGGAGGCAAGTCCTGCTCTCATGCCGCCAAGATGGAGAATGGTGGCAGAGTGTGGGGAGAAAGTGTTAAGACTGGAAGGAAGGAACCTTCCCCAAGAGTAGCAATCTACACATCAAAGGGATAGCATCAGAGAGAGAAGGAAAGGATGTTCAGTGTCCTAGCCTATCTATCTCTCTGACTCTCTTGTTGTTAGTCTCCCCCAAAGTCTAAGGCTATATGTTTTTTGTTTTACTGGCTGCATGATCCAGCCATTCAGTGATCATGTAGTCAGTAAGGATTCATCCCCCTCACTCCTCTTCAGTGGGGATCAAGCAAGAGAGTTCCCTCGCAAATAACTGGTAGTCCAAAATGACCATCCCAAGATTTCGACTGATCTCCAGACTATGGAGATCAGTGCCTCTGGAGCAAATGTCTGCTTTGGAGGCCAGACTTAGGCTTACCAAGTCCCCCCGGGGGGGCGGGGAAAACCCCGCCCCAGAGGCCCGTTCCCCGCTGCCGGCGGATCGGGCCCCGGGGGGAACCTCACCCCGACATGCACGTCACCCGGAAGTGACGGGGCACACTGGGGGCGGGGCCACGGTCATCCGAGAGAAAACTCTATGGTTTTCCCTCAGATGGCGATGGCCCCGCCCCCAGCGTTCCCGGCGGCGGCACATCACTTCCAGGTGATGTGCATGCAGCGCACACATGCAAAGAGTGCGCACACACTCTCCAGATGCCAGCCGGGAGCCCCCCGCTCTGGCTCGAAAACAACTTGGCAACCCTAGCCAGACTCTATATCATTATACCCTGCCAAAGTCCCTCCCCTTCTCTAAACCATATGCTCCCCAAGTTCCACCCCCAAAATCTTCAGGAATTTCCCATCCCAGACTTGGCAACCCTACCACTTTACCTTGCCTTGCCTTGCAGTATCACTGGCTCCGTGAAGGAGTCTGTATTCCCCATTGGGACACACACCTCTTTAGGAAAGAATTCGGATTTTTATCGAATGGGAAAGAGGTGCCACCTGCACGCACTGATCCCTGTTCTTGATGCACAGCTTACAATGCCTGGAGGAGCTTCTGTGGCCTCTCGCAGCCACGTAACGAGGCTGAACTTGCTGCGGTTCTCAGAAATTCAGTGCTGGCGAAGAAGTTCATCAGTCTTTATGGGACACCCGAGAACATTGACCTCTGGGTTGGGGCCGTGGCTGAACCCTTGGTACCCAACGGCAGGGCCGGCCCTCTGCTGTCGTGTATCATCAGCCGCCAGTTCAAGAACCTCCGTGATGGGGACAGGTGAGTGAAGACAAAAGGCTAGAAATCACTGAGATTTGGTTCTGGGGGGAAAGGATCGACCGCATGGCCAAAACGTTGGAAATGTATGAATCTCACCTATGGACAATAGAGATTCTATGGGCTCCAGACCTCTTGTTGACAAAAAGCACAAATGCATTCAGATCAGTCCATCTCCCTTCCCCGACTGTTTGTGTGAGTTAAGCGCCATCAAATCACTTCCAACTTATGGCGATGCTGTGAATTAATATGTCCTCCAAAACATCCTATCGTTAACAGCCTTGCTCAGGTCTTGCAAATTGAGGGCCTTTGTGGCTTCCTTGACTGAGTCAATCCATCTCATGCTGGGTTTTCCTCTTCTCCTGCAGCCTTTGACTTTTCTTAGCATTGTTGTCGTTTCCAGTGACTCTGGTCTTCTTATAATGTGACCAGAGTAGGATAGCCTCAGTTTAGTCATTTAAGCTTCTAGGGAGAGTCCACTCTTGGTTTGATCTACAACCCACTTAGTTGCCTTTCTGGCGGTCTGCAGTTGTTTTATTCCCAAAATGTCCCCAGCAAACCTTACTCCAGCTCCCTCCCCTCTCCCCACACATGCACCGAAGAATGAGATTCCACCCATGACATCACTGATATTTCTCCCTAAGACAGCAGTGACCTGGAATCGATGCTCTCCAAAGCTCTGTGAGATGACAGAGGATGCAACATTTTTCTGTTTCTTATCTAGATTCTGGTGGGAGAATCCCGGGGTATTCACCACCGAGCAACGTAGGGCCATCAGCGCAGTCTCCTTGTCCCGGATCATCTGCGATAACAGCCACCTTAGGGAGGTACCCAGGAATGTTTTCCGGGCCAACCGATACCCTCAAGACTTTGTCAACTGCAACGCTGTTCCTAGACTCAGCCTCTTTGCCTGGAAAAAAAAATGAGTGAGTATGGGATTGGGGTAAGGCTCCTTTGCCACTCTTCACACGACTCATCAAGTGTCACCCCTGTATTTGCTCATGAGTTACAGAGACTTGAGAGGAAAACAAGAGACAGGCCCCTGCCCCAAGGAGGTTAGAGTCTTAATCGGTGGTTCTCACTCAACCCTTCATGTCTTACATCCCACCAGCCACTCCATCAAAGAAACTGGGTCCCACCATGATAGGGAAAAAAGACCTCTTCTCCTGAGAAAGGCATTAATATGTTTACAGGCATTCTGTTATTACTGCCAATGTGCCAAAAGTTCAGAGAGGGATAATCCGTGGCAGGTGGGATCGTCAGGAGATGGCACATCACACATGCAGGGGGACATATGTAATACTTCTTTACATAAAGAGTGATTAAAATGTAGGATTCACTGCCAGAGGATGTAGTGATGGCCACAGGCATAGACAGTTTAAAGGAGATTAGATAGAATTATGTACAGGTCTATCAGTGGCTACTAGCCGTGATTATTAAAGGGAACCTCCACATTCAGGGGTGGTCAATTTCTGAATCCCAGTGCCAGGAGGCAACATCAGGGGAAGACCTTGGCTTCTGTGCCCTGTTGCTGGACCTCTAGAGAAACTGGTTGGCCACTGTGTGAGACAGGATGTTGGATAGACCACTGGTCTGATCCACCAGGGCTCTTCTTAGGTCCTTATGGGGATTGAGGTAGAGCGAAATATTGGTAACATATTACAAAACCCCTATGTCCTACCTAGACCACTTTAGTGCCCCTTCTGAGGTATGCAGACCATCAATTGATGATTTAAAGTGCACAGGTGGGGAGGACAACTGAGGTGAGAAAGAAAAAAGCTAGGGACAGGAGGAATGAGAACTGCCATCACACTTCTTTGGGGTTTGTATTGGTTGGGCGCAGGGTTTATGCATCTCAGCCAATGGCTTCGCAGAGGAGAAAGATTTTGACGGGGATCTAAAGGAAGAAAGGGTGGGCGGTTCTGGGAGGGAGCTCCAGCCAGAAGACAAAATGGATGGACCAGTCTGAGAAAGTCTAATGAGCTGTTGTGCTTTATGGACGTCATCTCAGTATCTCCAGGAATTTGTCAAGCTAAAGCTGGCAGCCTTAACAATAATTCTTCCTCACTGTGGGTGGGTGGTGCCCGCTGTTGCCTGGTGGCTCAGGACCTGCAGTATTCCTGGGGGTGATGGGAAATGTAGTTTCGTTGGCCTTGTGCATGTGCACACACATGCACACAGTTTCAAACATCCTATCACATTCTGGATTGTTTGAAAAGGATGTGCTCAACATTATATATATATATA